TCAGCTACTACCACACCACATTTTGTCTCTATATCTGTAAAACTGGCAGAGTTCTACACATTTTTACCTGGGCTTGAATTTGACCGAGTAGACTGGGGCCAAATCCAGGGATGGTTAGTGCAGTGACGTAATCGACCTTCGAAGGATGGAAGGCCACAAAGCAGATGTGGAATTTTGCAGGGTTACCTGTTGTTAGCTGCGGGAAATGGACGACGCTTCAAACAGCGTCTGCAGGAAACAATGGAAGCGTCGTCCATTATTTCCCGCAGCCAACAACAGGTAACCCTGCGAAATTCCACATCTGCTTTGTGGCCTTCCATCCTCCAAAGGCCAAATTTGAAGGCTGATTACGTCACTGCGCCGCGCCGAAGGTTGTCGAAATTTGAAGGGTCCTCCAAATGTTCTCCCTTTCTCCTGATTTGACAGAGGGGTCCGGTGGAGCCTTCTCAGCTAACACATTCTTACTCCCAACTCGTCGCATATTGACGCTTGGTCAGGTTCCCTCTGCGTCTTATTTTGACGTGTCAGGTACCCCTTTGCGTCAGTTATTGACGCAACAGGCATTTCCGGGTTCCCTCGGTGTCCGGTTTTGACGCGTCAGGACGCAAAATATAGGGGGTCTTTGTGTTGGGGTCTGTGGTTAATATAGGGATCAGGGTTGATGGTAAATTTTAGGTAGTGGTGTCAGGGATAGGATGTCTTGGGTTAATATTAGATAATTTTAGGGTTTGGAACATGCAGTCGAAGTGAATTTCCTACACTTTCTAAAAATGGTTAATTTTAGGTACTAGGGTCAGGGACAGGATGTTTAGAGCGAATAAAGGTGATTTTAGGGTTTAGGATGGTTAGTTTTTATGCATTTTCTACACTTTCTGAAATTATGACAACGGATTCTGCCCCATCTTGTCAATAACTGACGCAAGGGAGGTACCCGACGTGTTGAAACCGGACGCAGAGGGAACCTGACCAAGAGTCAATATGTGACAACTTGGGTATACAGGTGCTGGTCATAAAATTAGAATATTGTGAAAAAGTAGATTTATTTCAGTAATTCCATTTAAAAAGTGAAACTTGTATATTATAT